CAAAGTGTGCAAAAAAAAAAAAGCTTTTTATTGCTTTTTTTTTTTTATATAAGGACATGGGCCTTTGTGACATGCATTTTATTTTAAACTAATGCTTCTATTATTCCACATCTGAATAATTATAGCTGACATCATCTACTCTTCGGTGTCCTAGAAGATCTTTAGCTCTAGTCCACTGTTACATATTTTATGCATTACATGAAATAAAATACCTCAAGATTTTGAAAATATTTACTTTAAAAACAGCAATGAAATTGTCTGTAATCACATCTTCTGCTCTGCTTTGAAAGCAGCATTATTCAATATGCCAGTGGTCTTTTCCATAAGAGCAACATATTAGAAATTCATGCTGCTCTAATATATCTGAATTCATTGATGTACTGCACTCCCTATAGACCTAAAGAAACATTTTTGCTTCAGTTTCATGTGTCCTGCACATTACCTACTGATGTGGTGGTTGTCAAAACAGTTGTACAGTAGCCTTTGAATTCAAAGTGTGCCTTGACTGTATACTAAAAATGACAATAAACCTAAGTATATACATTATGCTGGCTTTTGTTGCCAGCACAAGTAGAGCATTTGGGAAATAAATCCCCTGATTTTATTGCCTTTTAACATCTTTTCCACTTTAAACTTCAAACCTAGAAATTTGAAGCATTCCAAGAAACTGAAATCTCTTTTATTTCTTTCTTGTAAATTTTCTATAGCGTACCATCATGAACCACATTTTCAAAAAGATCAGCAGAAGATGATGAAAGCATTTCAAAAATAAGGTTTTTTTCCTCTATGTAAAAACAGGACTGTGATTTTTAACCTTGGCTTCTTGGGAAAAAAAGCAATCATCTATAGGATATACTAAAGAAGCTGAAATGTCTACAATTTTGTTGATAAAATGAACACACAGTAAAACTCATTTTACAGAAGATATCCAAAAGCATTTTTACAGATAAACACAAGTTCTCATAGGATGCTATGTACATGCATTTATTCGCAAATGTTAGAGGGGTATTTCTTGCAGTCTTTGGAATATTTCAGGAAAATATGTGCAAACAGAGAAGTGCTGGCAGATCAAGTCCCAACTGGAACGGAACCAAACCTACAAAGGGCTACCTTAGCTGCAGTAAATCATAAAGGGATCCCTTCTCCATCATGTAGAAACAAACATGCTACAGCACCATCGGTACATCTTCATTAAACAGCTCTATCTATATCTAATTGATTCCACTTAGGAAGCAGGAATAGAAGTCATACCCATTTTGAAGGGGGACTTTAAAGACCTCCCACATGTGGCCCACCACGCTGGGGCCGGACTGCGTGTCCACACCACCATGTGTCACATTCTTCACAAATTCTGCAGACTTCTGAACCCCCAGTATTCAGATATAATGAGCATCAGAAGAAATCTGTATTTGACAGCACGATATAAATTAGTGTGCGTGTGCATGCGTGTGTATGCCTGTATGTCACCTAAGCAGAAAACAGAAATACACAAACACAGAAGCCAATACATGAACTGACAGCAGAATAATGAGAAAGAGAAAATGTTAGTGGGTTGTTTTGGGGAGTTTTTTTTGTTTGGTTGGTTGGTTTTTTTTAAATAGTTGGGGGTGCAATAGGAAGTCCAATCAAAAAAAAAACTTCAAAGGCGGCTAATTCCAAATCTAAGTATCCGACACAGTAAATAGCAATGGGAAATTTTCATCTCCCAGCATTGTAAAATTTTTCAGAAAGAATTCCCACAGTGCAAAAAGTCAGTAAGAAGCTGAACCCTAATAAGAATTCACTGAGCTGGTAGTGGGCTCTTATTGTGTGTGTTTAAGCACTTCCACAGAGGAGAATTCTTACAGAGCTTGGGGCAAATCCTGCAATCCTTACTCAAAGGGATTTCATCTGCAGCTTTGAGGGAGTGCTGCACAGTATGAAACCAGGACTTCTAATGGGGGGAGTTTTGATGGGGTTTTAGGAGTGGTACAGCCTCAATTTTCAGTCTGTCCAAAATCACAGAAATCTTCATCTGAAAACACCTGGTAGTTGAGATGAAAGACAAATGCTACAATCAGTGTACAAACTATTTTCCTACTTTGCTTCTGAGCTCACTGTGTTTCCCTTCTCTCATTTGGCTAGCATTAATTAATGCCTTGTCTATAAAAACACCAACTGAAAACCACTCACTAGTTCTAACACAGGCAAAAAGGAAGGTATCAAGGCTAAAATACCAACATGGGTTAAAAACTGGCTAAAAGGAATGATGTTGAAAGTAAAAAAAAAAAAAAAAAAAAAAAAAAAAGACCAAATTCAATCAGAGGCACATTGCACTGCAGCTGAATTTTTCCCAATATAAGTAAAATTTGCTTAAGATGTGAAATTAATTAGGGATAGAGAACAGCCAATAGATTCATTTCTAAGAATAATTTTTCTAAAAATACTCATTAGTGCCCTGAAAAATGAAGTGAGATACATGGTTTCCAAATGCACTAAGCTGTGGTTGATATACCAGAAATTATATTGCACCGAGGGTTTAGATAGATTGGAGAAACTTATACATTATTTTCTATGTGAGGCAATATAAAAGTGATTTAGGCAAGTACTTGTTAAATGGATCAGAGTTTGATGAGATAGTAAAAAGGAAACTTAGAGACGAGTAATAGCAAGAGAAAAGAGTCATACTGAAGAAAAAATGTAAAACGTTCTGGATTACAAAGAAGAGCTTCAAAGCTGAGTAAAGAATGCTAACTCTACAAAATCCTGTGTCTTTCTTCATCAATGGAAAGCCAAAAGGACAATGGGGCCATTCTATTCACTGAAAAAGTCACTGAATTCACTGCAGAATTAACTTAAATTACCTCCCTCAAGTTAATTCCTCTCAAGTTATCAAATTCAAATCAGAGGAACTATACTGCCAAACAGCATTTGAACCGTACAAAATCATGGTTTTAACATCCTATCAGTTGTACTAATGTGAGATGTAGCTTAATCCCCTTGACAGACAAGCCAGCTTGCGTTAAAACTATTGCTAGTTAAGAGGCCCTCTTGTGTGCAAAGAGCATACAAGTTAGGGATAACAGTTGACTTAGCCCATGATGCTTCAAGGATCATGCTTTATTTATTGAATGAATCCTCAGAAATTACTGTTAAAATTTAGTGCATATTTTCTTGACATCTGATTTTTGTTTTTTTCTGATCTTTACTAAGTCACAGCAGCAAAATTGCCTAGTTATATTATTCAGCTTTTCTGTATTTGCCCTGGATGCAATAATTCACTGTGATGATCTACAAACTCTTGAGGCCCTTTGTTCAGAGTTTGTTGCAAGAGGTTAATGTGGAACATCAGAGCTTAAAAGAATGCATAGTTTCAAGCCATAACCATGGCTCAGGAGGTCAGTTCAGTGAAATACTGCTTGTCTTGACTGGAGTGCCAAACCTTTATCTTACTTTTTCAAGTCCTTTCATAGTTCTGATTCTTAGAACCCCACACAAGATTTTGCTCATGCTCTTCAATGCATGCCACCAGCTTTGTAGAAATGCAAGCAAAATTCAAAACATTTCCACAAAGTATATTTATATTTCTCTATGAAAATCTGCCTCCCCCTCCTCCCATTATTGAACATAACCCTGGGGTCAGATTCTGACCTCAAATACAAAGTGTGCAACATCATAGTAAATCAATAACAACTAAGCAGCACACAAGAAGCCAAGACTAGCCCCCCTGCAGTACAGCTTGTCGGACATCCTCGGAGGGAATGCAGAACTCCTCGAAATCAAGGCAGCTTTATTTTAATTAAGTTGCAAGGAAGCCTTGTGACAAAGCAGATTTTTGTGGTAAACTAATTGTTTTCTGGCCACCACAGCCCCCCAGGCCCTGGCTCTGGGGCTGTTAGTATGAGGGGCTGAACAGGGAGTTGAGCCTAGATCCCTCAGCCCCCAAACCTCCATATAGCACCTCAGCTCCCAGGCTCCCAGGACTGATTTTATTTTTATTTATTTTATTTTTTTTTAGGTAATGTGATGGGGAGCTAGCAAGCTGGAAGCCTGAACAGCCTCAGTCCCTAAGTGCAGAGCCCCCCAGCTGGGACACGGACCTAAGCCTCTGATCCTTTGGTGAGAAGCCCAGACCCTTGGATGTCCAGAAAGATCTTCGCCTGCCCAGATCTGCACTTCCTGGGCAGCTCATCTAGCAGAGTGCCTGAAGTCCAGTGAGCCCCACACAATGCCAGGCGCCATCCTCTTCCATGGGATTTTTAACTCTTTGGACTAGAATTGTACATTGATATGAAATAATGCCCTCTTTGGTACAACAGTCTTGTCTGGAGTCGCTATGCAAGAAATATACTAATTATTTGTAGAACCCACTTGAAAATGTAACATGTAAAGTAGCTCTGCAGTTGTTGCAAGCAATTTAACATTGAAAGAAGTGATTTATAATATCAGGCTTCCCAAGATTACGACCATAATGACTATCTGACAGACTTTATAAGCAAATTGTCCAGTCATTCCAATTGGATTCTGGCTGGCTAAGGACTGGGAACTGTAAAAAGGCTATAAGATTTGGCCTAGAATCAGAAATAACATTTGCTGTTTTCCAAACGAGCGGTAAACAAGAAAGGAGATATTAAATTTTTGTACATCTCTCATCACATGCAAATGAGAATGGAAAGAGCCTCATCAGACAAACACAGAACAGCAGCCATCTGGATCCAAACCCTGCTCTGGTGGAAGTCAAAGCCTTGAGACTCCTTTTGTCATTACTTACATCCGTGTAAAGCAGGAGTAATTCTACTCAAGGAGGAGGGTAACACCCCGGCTTTGAGAAACTCAGCTGTAAAACCCCCACCGCCACTGCTGGGCGGAGGATTTGAAATAGGGAGCGCGATGTAAAACCCAGCTTGCTCCATGACTTGAGTGGTGCAGGAGCCGGCCCCTCGGAGGATTTCAAACAGGTCTGTATTTGCACTATTTCACAACTTAAAGCAGAACGGAAAGGAATGACTAAAAATGCTTACCACAGAGAGGGAATTGGAAAGCAGTGTCCCATCTTGGCCGAGCATGTTGGAAACTGTAATTTCAGGTAGATCCATGTTTTGTGGGTGGAATGGAAGGAGGCCATTGTGGTTCATGGGATGACACAGAGAGTGGTACCCAGACTCTATCTCATTCAAGTGCACCAGGGAGTGGTCAGGCAATGACGGAGGAGTTATAGGAGGTATGTTAAAATCTTCACTTTCAAGACTTGGCCCAGGAAAAGACTGGAAAAAAACAACCCGGAAAGTGTCATGAAAATCATGTGAATACTGATCAAAAATTATAATAAAAGTCACACAAAACAAACAAAAAGAACCCAAATCACATACTTATAAGAAGGAGCTTCAATTTAACAAAAAGAATATTTTAAACACCCGTATATTATAACAGTGGAGTTTCACCATTATGTATGGAAGAAAAATTGCCTCTGAGGCATAAGAATCTCTGATACTTTCACAGTTTCCATTAGAAAGAGATTTTTTTTTTAAAGAAGCTGAATTCAAACAGATTTCAAGGGTCCTATTAAAATTTTCCAAGAGCGTTCATCTAGCTGAATACCTTTTTCATGGGAATTGTGGAAAAGGGAATGCAATTTATAAAATTAACATTGGCTCAAAATGGTTCATAGGACTCCCTGCTATTCAGATCAAGAATTATACAGTGGAGAAGAAAGATACCGTTTTTAGGTTTACAGGAGAGCCATGCATTTGTTCTGCTACAAAGAAAAACAAATAAATACAGAAATAGTATATACTTTGTATTAATGTACTTTGTGTTTATAAAAATACATCTATGGTGTCTCAAAAACACTGATTTTTCCTTTCTTAATCTATAAACTCAACGATACCTACATTTTGTCAGTCATCTAAATGAGTTACTCCACAAAGCAACTGTTTAGTCTTTTGTTGTCTGCTGCCATTAAGTTATCCAACTCAATCTGATCCGAGGAAAAGCCACAGGCAAAGTCAGAGTAATGCACCTAGGTGGATAATTGCTATTATTTATCTACATTCTTCATACAGCAGGTAGGCTCATTTTGGGGATAGGGGTGGGTGTGCTTATATTTCTTAAAGGAAAAAGGTGAGCAGGGTTAGATACATCACCCAAATCAAGAGTTAAAGGGATCACTTGCAGTGGTTCAGCCTGAAAGTCTGCTCTGCTTTTCTGAGAACAGCCACAGTTCTCATCTTTGCAAGCGATCAGTCTTTGCACATCCCACACCCACAGTCACGAGGTTTATAGCACAGAGACTACTTCCACCCTTCCTGCCCCTTTGCAGCAACACAGCCCTGCTCTGAGTGATGCTTTTGTTAATTCTGGAAATGCAAGGATTTAAATATATTCTGCTCCTGCAAAGTATCTTCAGGAAAGACAAAAATGAGGACACAATTTCAAAGAGCAGCTCTTAGAAGAAAATGTTTTCCCCAACACGAGTTTGCAAATGGAGGACAGCATGGTGTATGAACTCATGCAGAAGAACAAGGGAAGAATCAATGCCCAATTATGAACAAAGGGTTTTTTCATTAGTCATCATAGTAATACTGTCCTCCCTGATGCCTGGGGTTACTCTCCTCTGTACGAGAATGGATATAAAAACCTAAATCAGACCAACAACAAACAGTGTTACATGTTTGCTGCTGAACACAGAAGAACTTACTCTAGTGCACCTTGCCATGGTTTTAGTTGCTTTGCTTTTTTCCCAACAAGCTTTACACCTCTGTTTCCAAATATCTTAGTATGAAATAAAACAGGGAGGCTGGACTGCAAAAGACAAAATAAAATCCCCCAAAATTAAAACAGGACGGGGAGAGAAAAAGGTCTGGCAGTGATATCACCATCCTTATCCGTGAGGACTTAGGTTCTGCCCATGCTTTCCAGCTGTGTTTCTCACCTCCAGCACAGGAATTTGCTCTCCTCTTGCCCCTGACCACTCCTTAATGGGAAACTGGTGTGAGTACTGCCATTTGTAAGTTGTATTTTACCCTGCTTTTAGAACCCATGATACAGCCATCAGCTGAAACATCTCCAAGGGATTAAATGCATACAGTAAAAATATACCCTCACTAAATGGAAAGGGGACTCACACATAGCAAAGAGAACATGGCATATTTACTCAACCACAATGTATAAACTGTGCAAAACCAAATAAAAGTATTATGGACTCTGTATACACAACTATTTGCTAATTACTATTTTATTAAATTGATGATCAAAAGAAAGGTGTCTAAAATGAACTTAAGGTCTAACACCACAATACTAAAGCAGGGAAGAACAGAAATGAAGGAAGGGACAACATCCATAATGCTCTTCTGAACCAGCACTATCCCACACAAGTACACTTAGATTATGTTGCTGTAATCTTGGTGAGCTTACAGCCATGTAACCTACAGCTACCAGGAGGGATTCAAGAGTTGTGAAAAGAGGACGTTTTGTGTTCAACGCTGTCTTTTCTACTGTACCAAAAGACTGATGGCCTTGAAAGTGTTTTCTCTCCCATGATTTTGCAGGTAGAAAGAAACGTTAACTCAACGTTTGTTTTCTTTCTCTCACTCACTATCCTACAGTGAAAATACCTTGTGCTGCATCTTTGCTGAACCAAGGTGCTTCAATACCTTTTAGAGGAGGAAGAGACATCTGCCCTCCTACTTTCCTTAAGCAGGAGTAGGACAAGAGTCTACAGTATTCTCTCACCATTTCTTTAACAAGAAGAAGGGACTTTTACATTTGCTACTAAAAGCAAATATTCCTAACCCAAATATTGACAGGCTGGCTGTACCTAATATTGGGGGCATTCAGCAAATCCGCTGTCTTATTTGTACACCCTTCTTGCATGCCATATGTGGATAGCCTGGCTTTTACCTTAGTTAGACTTTGATTTGCTGTATTTCAAATATGTCTTTAATTAGTAACAATTCAAAAATGGTGGGAACAATTGAACTGCCATTAGGACATTAGCTTCACTTATTAAAAAGAAAGTAAAACACTAGTGCCATTAAACTCCACAACCCAAGTCATGTCATGTGTAACTATGCAACATTGTTATATATATTATATGGGATAAACATTTTAAATAAACAGTTGCTCTCTGATTATTAAAAAAAAGATAAAAATCACACCATGGTTATTGCTTGCCTACCAGCTAGAGTGGATTGATCCCACCCACATCACCTACCACATCACTGTCCACTATACTTAAACAAGCTTCTTAAAGAAGTAGAATTACTGTAGCAAAGGCAATAATAACACATCTCACAATAACCGAGAACAACATATAATTCAAGCACTAGTACTTCCTATAATGTTTTTTCTTTTTTCTTTTTTTTTTTTTTTAAGACAAACTATTTTATTACTTCAATAAAGCTAGGCAGAATCCAAGCCACATGCTAATAGTATGGACAGATAATCTGCAGAGCACCCTAGTCACCTAACATTTTCACCCAATTTGCTATTTCCATACTTAGTATGTGTGTATGTAACACATACAGACACAATTTCCTCAGGGAAGTTACTTGAACAGTGACATGACAGTACTCCAGTTTGTCTTGTCCAGGAGGATGGTTTAGATGCTTGCAATGACTTGGCACACTGGCACATCAGAAACCAAATGTCCTATATACATTTGCAGCAAACCAAACACATCCCAGAAACAAGGCTGTTGCAATTGCGCGTGGAGGGAAGGAGTGAGGAATGGGCCATATGCTTGCCCTCCCAATAGCAGCTACAGGCTTTAAACACCCACTCCTACTTTCCTGACATCTCTCTCCTTGCCATTCGGAAAGCCTTGAGGAACCGTCTAGAGTCTCCTTTGGTGCAACTGATCCAGTGCTGGCAATGGGATCTCCTGGAAGAATATGTTGTTACCTTCTCCCCCAAAAAGACACTTTAGGGAACTCCAGTACAAGGCGAGGCCCAAGATTTTCCCTGCAGCAAGAAGTCCCGCTCCCAGGTCAGTTGTCACCCTGTCCCGACCCCTGGGCTTTCTTAGAGCATCTCTTCTTCCAACCCAAGCCATTTATCTGGAATTTCTAATGAAAGCAGTTATCTACCACCAAAAGCATTAGAGAAGGCTACACTCCCTGTATCCACTTACAATTCGTAAGTACAGCTCATATGTATTAATAATAAATAGTGACCTGTACCTTCAGCTCTGTTAGGTTTTTCTTGGGGGTAGAGACAAAAGCTGGGGTCTTGCCTGCACCCCCCCCGCCCCCCATCCTGCCCCCCAAGGGTTTTTTCCTTCACAGATGGCTTTACTATCAGCAGGACTTTCTCTATTCAGAAAGACATGGAATAGCTCCTTTTCTTTCTGCTGGGCATAGAAATACTAGCAAGCTCACCTTTTCACTTTTGAATCAAAAAAGAGTAGCAGTAAATGCTTTATTTACTTTACCACAGAGCGGCTAGGAACTTTGCCAGTGGTTTCGCTTTCATCTCATGACTGTGGGAGTGGATGAGGTGTTTATCAGCTCTTCAGTTTAGGGGAACTTCCTGGGCCTTTATTACATTCCAGAGAGAAAGCCCTCTGCAAAGTAACAGCATTAAACCCACTGCATAACACTGAACAGACACAGGTTTAATTTCACTTTATTATGAACTATGAAAAAGTTGTTTGAATCAATCATATCTTCCCAAATGTAAAGGACAATATTCTATGTTTCTGGTTAAATATTTGTAACATTTCTGCCTGAAATGACGGCACTTCATAAAGCAGATGATCTTTGAGATGCCCACTCTCAGATCGAGACATCATTATCTATGCCACCTTAGCCTATAATTTTATGAGAAATGCTTGCTAGAATAAAATGATACAAACACTTAACCCTGATTCACTGTCCAACCCAAGTCCAAGCTTTTGCTCCTGAACAATAACCTTGCTGGTCCCCTTCAATTTATCTTTTATTCCACTTAGCCTTGCCAAATCCAGCCACAAGCTATGGAAGGGGGGAAAAACTCTGTGTGTGTAAGGTGTTTGTCAAAGATCAGTTCTTTACTTTAGCAACACGTATCTCAAATTAGGACTAAGCATCCTGCTGTGCTAATAACACACATTAAAAAATTCTAGTATTTATTTTTCGAGGAACCCAGATACTTATTGTTGTCAGAAAAATAAGAGAAATGCTTTCACAATCTGCTGCATAAGAACTGAGGAAAAGGGAGAAAGAGGGAAATAAAAATAAAGCCCTTTAGCTTAAGTAATCTACAGTGATGACTGCATATTGTCCAG